AATACTATATGTGAATAAAAACCTCACATGTTGCTGTAACATTTAACAAGCAACTTGACATAGTTATTTGATTTATTTTAGGTACCATTGCATGTCAAAGATGATCGGATAACCGGTATTTATCCCAATAATTGTATTACGTATCAACAAAATTCATACTTTAGGAATGGTCATCATGCTAATAACCCTGGTATTAAAATTAACATTTAAAGTAGTCGAATTAACAAGAAAATCTTGCTTTCTTATATAGATAAGCTATAGCAATGTGAAATTGGAAGATTTGGGGGGAAATTTAATGATTATCCATATTTTCTTATTGTTCAAAGGGGGATTTTTGCATGATAGTGTTTGGTGAAAACCCTATTTCATGTAGGTAATTAGATGCTGCTGTGTATTATGGTGTTATCCTCTAATAATTACAAAAGTTTGTAAAAAAAAAAAAACAATTGTCCAAAAAGTATTATTCTCAGATGCATACGTATCTGGAAACAATACTAAGGAACAGTTTAAGAGGAAAATGCTTTAAAAGAATTATGGAATATCACTATATTGCCAAAAGCTCTTCATACAACTTTTAAAGATTGTCATGAAAATTTCAAATTTAGCTAGAGATATAGTTTATGAGATGGTACAGATTACATTGCAATATTTCTATTTTTGCAAAAAATTTTATACTATCAATGCTATTTTATAAATTGCTTTGTAAATTAATAAAAATTAACGAAATTTTTTTTTCAGATGATGAGAGTTCTTGTGTTATTATGTCTATGTTTTACCATTTGTGTTGGTCAGAATCGACGTTGCTCATCGCCATCCAATGAAGACATTAAACCATGCACATGCATGCAAGACTCTGGAAACAGACTATATATTTATTGCGAAGGACTTAGCTCATTAGACGAGTTACGCAGCGCCGTAAAAGGAATGAAAAATTTAAAAATTGACACTTTGGAATTGTCTAAATCGAACATTGGCACTCTTCCTGCTGACATTTTCAAAGATGTAGAAATACAAATTTTGACTATCAAGTTTACCACTCTCACTAGCCTCAGTGAAAGTCTTAATCGACCCCCTTATTTAGGACTTGAGAGCTCCCTTGAAAAAATTGAAATAAGAGATTGTTTCATTGATGACAGTAATCCACTTACAAGATTGTCATTTGCTCACTTGAAAAAATTGTCTGTTATTCAACTTGAAGGCAACATTATTCCAACTATAGGTAATGATATGTTTGAGAGTGGACCGTATGGAGTAAAAGAACTGTATCTCCTGCAAACAGATACTAAAATCCTGGGAAGTCATGCATTCTCTTCGTTGCCGAATCTTCGAAAAATCAGTCTTACAGGTGGAGCCTTTGAGCAGATTTCACGAAAAGTTTTCCCTGAACCAGCTACATTCCTCGAATCGATAGATTTAAGGTGAGTTTTATTTTAGCATTTTAAATTCCGTGGTTAGGCCGAATTCTGGAGAGGTATTATTTGAATATAGATGTAGAAGTTCATGGTACAGAATCTTGCATGGTCAAAATTTTGCGGATGTAGAAGATCACGGTAGAGAATCTTGGATGGATAGCTTTGTTTAGGAAGACATTTTCGGGCATCAAATCCTAGTTTGGCAAAATCTAAGAAGAGCAAATGCAAAATGAAACTCTCGAAATCCCGCTTGGACAATATTCCCTGTGAACAGAATAGCGAAAACCAGTAGACACTGTAACATTTCGTTTTCGCGAGTTTTTTCTTCAGCGAGATTATGCCACTGCGATTTCGAGCTATGGTCTGCTAAATATGGCTTTGGATAATGAACTATAGTAAATGGTGTTGATAACCTTGTTTTAGGAAAATATTCAGAGACGTTTCGTAACTGTCTTTATGGTAGTCACTAGATAGACCTAAGAGGGATCCTTTTAGCGAGTAAACCCTAATCATGATGATAGCACTGATAATTAAGATGATTCACCCATTTTGTTCTATAAAAATTATGTAAGCGTTATAAGCCTTCAACAAAAAAATAGACATTACAATTTGAGGTACCCTCGTTCATTGATTTTGAAAA